ATATCACTTTATACGTGTATATCAAATTTTGTTAAAATTGAACAACAACTAGAAGGTAATCAAAGTGTTCATATTTTAGTGTATTTTGAAATGAATATATTACATCAATTTTGTTTTTATAAAAATGAAGTATCAAATCATCTTGGATTAATATAAAATTTTGTATATATAATCTAAGAGATATGAACTTTTAATCTAACGGTTGGATATACAAAATTCACATTTAATATAAAGTTATTGAGCGGTGTAATACTTAGTAAAAGTCACATTTAATATATATATATATATATATATGAGAGGGGGTTATAATTACAGTGGTGTAAATTTTACTAAGAGCAACTCCAATAGGAGTTGCTTGTCCCATGAAGCAACTCAAGTCCCGATTTCTTGCCATTGGAGGATTCTGACGTGACAACATGAGTTGCTTGAAGAAGAGAGAGAGTTGCTTCCTCAATCAACCGTTCCTTACTAGATTTCAAGTAGATCTTATTGAACATATTTGGGAACGTTTCGAAAATAATAATGATAAAAATTAATTTCGTATAATGTTTATGTATTTACTATTGCTTTATTTTATTTTTAATATCTACTTATTGTGTATTTTTTCTCGTAATTTATTTTCTTTCATCGTAGCAATTATCTTTTTTAATAAAAATTTAAATTTGGTTCATAAATGATTAGAAAAAAAATTCTAAAAGTTGAATTTCTTAAAGTTTCTTACCATTAGAATAAATTTGTGTTTGAGTTGCTTAATGCTTACATGGCACACTAGAGACCACTTTTTTCATTTTTTAATGCATGAAGCAACTCAAATGAGTTGCTTGCATTGGAGATGCCCTAAGTATTACACCGCTCAATAACTTTATATTAAATGTGAATTTTGTAATCCAACCGTTAAATTGAAAATTCTTTACTCTTAAATCATATATACAAAATGTTATATTAATCGAAGATGATTCCTTATAAAACAAAATTAAATTTGTTGGAAAATTTATATTTTCGATGAAAATCTTTTTTGTAGGGACTATATTATTGATGAAATATTTCTGACAAATTTATATTTATCGAAAATGTAAGAACTGGTTTTAAATTTGATATGAAAATATTATGATATAATTAGATAAGATTTTAAGTTAGTATTTTATTAATGGTTGATAATTAGAAAATAAAACAAGGATAAATACATTTTTTGAATTTTATATGTTTGATTTAAGATAACTTACAAAATAACTCTTGATAAAGTTATCCCGCTCAATAATTCATATATAGTGTGTGTTGAATTTCATCGATCCAATTAATTGTTAAATTAAAAGTTATTAAATTTTACTAATAATTAATATAAAAAAAATTTAATTAGCTTTGGAATAAATTATTTGCTAATTAATAATATAATTGAAACATTAATTATTTTAAATTATTTAATTAACTAAAATCTTATTGACAATTTACTATATGATCTTAATATGTTTGTATAACTAATATTTAGTTTTAAATTCGATTTGAGAATATTATGATATAATTAGATAAGATTTTAAGTTAGTATTTTATTAATGGTTGATAATTAGAAAATAAAACAAGGATAAATACATTTTTTGAATTTTATATGTTTGATTTAAGGTAAATAAATATGTTAAATTAATTAATAATTTATTTAAAATGTTAAAATTTAATTTATAAGTATGTAATAAATAAATATTTATAATTTTATAAATTATATTATCATTATAAATTATAAAATTAAATAATTTAAATTATAATTTTAAATAGAAATAAGTAGATGTTAATTATAAAAATAAGTATATATAAATAAAGAATAATTGAATACATTATTATTATTATTATTCGTAATATAAAATTATTATATATTATTATTATAGTACAAGTATGAGATTGTATATTTGAGGATGACCTAAATAAATTAATTTGTACAAGTTATACTGACAACATACATATACATTTCGGTAGCTTACTCATCAGAACTTCACAGTTAAACGTGCTTGACCTGGAGTAGTATTGTGATGGGTGACCTTTTGGGAAGTTTCCCAGAAATTGCACAAGTAAGGATAAAACATGCTTAAAAATGAAATGTTGTGAAGTAAAGCCCTTGAGAGGCCAAATATGAGGACTGTTACATTAATAAATTTATTAAAATTTAAAAAATATAATTTTTGATGGAATTTTTCGAAAGAAAATTTCGACGGATTTTTTTTCCGATGCCACTTTTTTCGACAGATTTAAATCTGTCGAGAAAAAAAAATCCGTTGGAAATTTACCCTTTTCCGTCGAAAATTAGCATTTTTCTTGTAGTGATTTAATTATCAAAACGTGAGAGGTGTGTCAAAGATCTCACATCAATTATTGAGATGACTAAAATAATGTATATAAATTGAAGTAATTTTCATCTTACAAACCTAATTTTATAAAATTGAGTTAGGCTCATATTTATTATTTTAAGAACAAGGTAGTTTTATAAGATTGAGTTAAATTGTAACCCCTTTTCTTATGAGATTTGATTATTGATATATAATTGCTTTTTTTTTTTTACTTTCAAATGAAAATAGCTCTATCACTTGATACTTTTCTTATAAGAAATAATCTTAAACTAGGGGTGAGCATAAAACTGAGACCCGAACCAAACCTGAAAAATCCGATAAAAAATATTACTTTTGGGTGGATTCGGGCGGGTTTTACGGGTAAATCGGGTTAAAATTTTGATTTTATACAGGTTATATTAGGCGGGTTCAGTTTTAAATTTTTAAACCCGTTAAAAACCGAACCCAACCGAAAATGAGATAAATTTAGATTTTTATTACTTTTGTATGACTAAACAACAATGGTCCAAATTCAAAAGTCTTTATTTCAAGTATAATATAGTCATCAATTTGTAACTTTTCTTTTTCTTTTTCTCATAACCTAAATATTTCTTTTGTCTTCTCCTTCCTTATTCAATTTCTCAACACACTAGTCTATTTTTAGATTTTTCTTTTTGTTTCTTTCTTTATCTTCTTTTCCATCTTCCTATCTCCATTTTGAGTACAACTTGTACGACAGTGGTTTCTTATAGATTTTGTAATCTAACTTTAGATTTCTTTTGCATGTAACAACTATGAATTTTGTTATCTTTTATTTTTGCTTCTTTAGTTTGTAAATGTTTCATCTACGAATCTACTTACATCATCTATTGTTACCTTCATTCTATTTTTGTACACTATTTTAAAAATATTTTTTTTTACCGTTTTAAGTTTCACCTTCGTTAAAATAACTTGGTCCACAAAAAATCTCAAACCCGATTGTACCCACCCTCCCTAATCCGAATCCGTTGCAACCCGAACCGCTTCAAACCAAAAGCTCAGTTGGTCAGACATGGGTCACATTTTTTTAAAGTCGATTTACAACGGGTTGAACATTTTTCACCCGAACCCGACTGAACCCGCCCGTTGCCCACCCCTATCTTAAACCATTAACCATATATTTAACTATCAGTTATATGATCTTTTTAGGAAAATTAACGGTCTTATAATTAATAAGTTAAAAAGTTACAAGACTTTTATTTTTTAATATCTACAATTATTCACTTAAGATTTAATGTTTATCATTCACGTAAGACTTATCGGTTAAACACTTTTTAATATTTTTAATATTTTTATTTGGTTGCGATATGTTTGATGATTGATCATAAGAGACGCCGCAAAAAATTAGGCTAAATACATTGTTTGACTATAAAATCATGGTAACCTCAATCTTAATCTGCCTATAATTGAGAATGCAATCAAATATGTACCCAAGAAGAATAGATCAAAGGATTTTTGGTATCTACATTTTTCGGTGTTGGTTTACATTTAAAAACATTGAAATCTCAAACATTTGGTAGACATGTTTGTGTGGACCAAGGACAAAAAAGTATCCTTATCAAGAAATTGTGTTGCGAATGCTACGAGCTCATAATCAAATATTGCTTCAAAACTAAGAACCAAAAATATTTCTTGTGCATGAAAATCACATTTCAACAACCAACTTAGACCCTTTAAAACACCCCATATTTTTATGATTCTCATTCATTCCCAACCCACTTTATCACTAATATTTTTTATTTTTTATTTTATCTTCTCCACTATGTCTAAAACGAATAATGTACGAAGACATGCTTTGGAGAAGAGCAGAAGTGTGAAAGAGACACAGAAAACGTTGAACCACAGTTTTTTTACGAGGAACATGAAGAAAGTGTACCCTATTGCACTTCAGAAAAGCACTTCATCTTTGTCTTTATCTTCAATATCCTTATCTTTGTCACAGAACTCAAATGACTCTTCACAAGCTGATTCTTTGACTCCACTGGATGAAAAGATTTCGCTGGCACTGCGTTTGATTTCACCACGTGATAGAAGGGAACCTACAATAGCTACTAAACCTCTTCAGCAACACCAATCACCACCAAGTCCATCACCCACCACTGAGCCTGGGGAATTCAGAAGATGTAACTGGATCACAAAGAACAGTGGTATGATCAAAAATTTCATTTCCAATACCTTTATTTATTTAAAATTTTTTTGCAAGTCTAGCAGCAGGGCAGACCTTGCTATGAATTTGAGTAGTTTGCATGAAATTTTAAGTTTCAATGTCAGTATTACTATTATATATAGAATTATTATTTTTATTATTTTGCAAATTTTGATTTAATTTTGTTTTCTTGCATTTAAACTATGACTATGGTTGTTGCTAAGTGATAAGGTTTGTTTGATATTTGTTTATAAGTACTTTTAGAGAAAATTATAAAAAAGTAAAATGCATCATGTTTATGTCATAAGTTAAAAAATTAACTTATCTATCTTATTAACTTTTGAAAAAGATGGATTGGACGATAGAATTTCTACAAAAGTAGATTTTAGTTTAGAGGAAAAACTCTAATCACTTTATTTATTTATTTTTTACAAATTTATTGAAAAGTTTTTTCAAACACGAGTTAAGAAACACGGTAGAGACATTCTCAACAGAAAACTAGTGATTAACATTTTCTGTTTTTTTAAAGCATGATCCTATCACTGATAGGCTAAACTGTTCAGCTATTTTGTTTAGGGATTTATATATGCTTATTTCATGGGGGAAAAGTAAAGTAAAGTATTTAATCTTGAAAGCAAGTCTTTCTACCTAAAGCTTCTATTTCTGTAACAAAGATTTAATAATTCAGTAGAATAGGTTGTTTTCACTTCATATCAATGCCCCTCATAGCTCGAATGTAAAATCATGCCAAATAATTTGCTTAGTTTGTGCTGCATAACCTAATTGCTGTTACTGTTAAAGCTGATTCAAATTGCATCACTATGGCCAATCACATCACGAGATTTTTATTTTAGTTGGGTAGTTGAAGTGTAAAACACCAACTTACTTAGCCCATATATTAAATGTCGCAAACTATCCAAATATTGGTATGTGTTTGAATTAATTATCTTGTTATCGACAATAAATATAAAACTAATGGAAAATCGTACCAGATGTCATAGCTCTACAGTTTGGAATTATTTTCCTCCACATTTTAAAGGTTCTACCTACTTCTAGTTAATGTATCAGTTGACTTTCAGTAGTATTTATATTTAAAGATAAGATTAAGCAATCATACTAGCCAAGCATACAACGGTTGTATAAATACCTGGTCCAACCTTAACCTTTTTAAAATGGTCCAAAACATAGGATTGTGTACCTACCCCTCATAGTTTGTGGAAGTATCCAATTCCACACAAAACTGATCTATGGATCTTATGCAGATAAAGCTTACGTAGAATTTCATGATGAATGCTGGGGAGTTCCAGCTTATGATGACAAGTAAGTTCCAAGTACCGAAGAGTATTCCCTTCATTTCAATTCATGAGTTTTATTTGTGATAAATTTTATCACTTTAAAAAGACAACAAATTTATAAGTATTTGTTTATCCATAATACTTTATAGATTTAAATATATATTTGTTCATCCATAATACTTTATAGATCTAATTATATTTTTAATATCTCAAATTTAGGATAAATTTATATGTTATTCATTAAATATAAATTTTTTGTTTTTATTCTATAATTTTTAAAAATTTTATTTAAGTTTCGTAGGTCATCAATAATATAATTGAAAGAAATAGATTGAAATATTTATGCATCATTGATTAAGTTTAATATAATATTTTTACTAATAAAAATATTACTAAGTAAATTTTATGTGATAATATTTGATGAATTTTTTAATAAAGTTTGAATATAAGAATTAAAATAAGATTTTTTTTAAATTACAGGAATTAAAAAAATCAACTTTAAATTTAAAAAATTAAAAATAAATTTATGTTAAATTTGAGTGACTAAAATATGATAATTAAATATCTAACTTATTCACAATTATACTTGAATAGTTTTAACAAAGGTTTTTTAATTGAATAAAGTTATCTTATAATAATAATCGGTATAAACACATATTCCCAGTAGTAAACTTGGGGGAATTGAGGTAATATATAAGAGATTCTAGATTTTTACTTCGGTATCATCATTGTGTAAAAACAAAATTACTAATAATTAGTATAATTGATAGTAGCGTGGTTTACTTTTCATATTGATGGGAACTGTTTTGATTGGGTAAATCATGAAACAGCAAATTGTTTGAGCTGCTTGCAATGTCTGGATTGCTGATGGACTACAATTGGACAGAAATTCTGAAAAGAAAGGAAACTCTTAGGTAACATCGTGTGATAAATTCTACTTTTAATATTCTATACATTTTGTTTTGTTCCTAATCAAATTAATACAAGGAATGTTTTTACACAGAGAAGTTTTCTCTGGATTTGATGTCAATACCGTTGCCAAAATGGAGGAAAAGGAAATCATGGAGATTGCATCAAACAAAGCACTTTCTTTAGCTGATAGCAGAGTTATGTGCATAGTAGACAATGCCAAATGCATAACAAAGGTAACTACACAATCCACCATTATATATTCAAGTTTTAAAGAGAAATATTAGCCACACTCTCTCAAACACTTTCTTATTAGTATTTTCATTATTTTTTATTAAAAATTACAAATTTCGATTGATCTAATTACTGAATCAGGAAGCATTTATTAAATAAGATACAATACCTAAAAATAATATAATTTCTAATAAATTTCAATAAATAATAAAGAAAGTGTTAGAAAGTGAGCATAAAAAAGAGGATCATTAGCCATCCATGAATTTTCAATATTGTATTTTTCAATTTCATGGTAGCCAACAAAGTTAGTTGATGCTTGCTCTTTATCCACACAGGTTGTTAAAGAATGTGGATCATTCAGTAGTTACATATGGGGTTATGTAAATCATAAACCAATAATAAACAGATACAGATACCCAAGAAATGTCCCATTGAGGAGTCCAAAAGCAGAAGCCCTTAGCAAGGACTTGGTAAAGCGTGGATTTCGGTTCGTGGGTCCAGTCATAGTGCACTCTTTTATGCAAGCTGCAGGATTGACCATTGATCATCTTGTGGATTGTTATAGGCACAGTGAATGTGTGAGCCTAGCTGAAAGACCTTGGAGGCATATCTAATAGCATATACTCTCTTTCACTACCACAATTAATTTTTAATTGGAGTTTACACGTACGAGAAATTATTACATGGTCGAAAAATATCATGGTACTCATCAATTTTCACCCAAGACATAACTGAATTTTGGTAATTTTGGTTATGTATTATGTGAAAATTAGTTGTGACTATGAATGCGTGACCATGTATTAATTTTTCTATGAGCAAAACCTCTCACTGAGTTTTTCCATGCATGTCAACCAAATAAGGACATGAATGCTGTATAGTTAGTTTTCTTTTGTATTTTGGTTTTGGAGGGAATTTGGACAATTTTTTTCCTCCTTTTTTTATTTATTTTTATTTTTATTTTTTTATTTTTTATTGTCCTGCCGCCACAGTCAATTAGTGAGAAAAAGAAAAAAGTGTGCTTTAATGAGGAGTATGTGAGAGTCACGCACTTTGTTGAAAGAATACTATTTGTTTGGTATGGCAAGTAAATACAAATAATAACAAGATGAAGAGGTTATGTTCAAATATCTTTGTTTATAATATGTCACCTTGTAGTTTGCTTATTATTTAAGCTAAATCATTCTTTTCTTTTTGTCATCTTTTTTATTTAAATAATTTAATTTAGTCATTTTATTATTAAAATTTTAATTTGATCTCTTAATTTTTAAAATGATGTAATGCTTTTTTTATTTTTTTATTTTATGTAATGTCGATTAATGATGTTATTTTCATGTATAAATATAGTAATATATGTCTTTTTTTTATATTGTATTACGTGCACAAGAAGTTATTGTCAATGGTTTAAATTAGGAGAAAAAGAGATTTATGTGTTTTTTAGTATTTACTTTAAAACTAAGGTAAAAGATAATAATGTGGGTGATTATTATAAGAGAATGTTAATTATTAAAAAATCTTAATTTTTTAATTATGAAAGAGTATAATAGTTTAATAAATGTGAACATTAAATGTGATTATTAAAAGATATATATATATATATATATATATATATTATCATTCTTAAAATATTATAAGTGTACAATTAATTGAAGGTTGTAATAATAAAGGAATCACTATTAAAAAATTGTTTAAAATTTAGGATTTAGGATTTTTGTATGTAACACATATTTTATAGTGACACTTTTTGTATGTCATTATATATAATATTTTTTGTAGTAGATTAAATTAAACTAATTAAATAAAATATGACTAAAAAAGTTATTTAGCAATTATCATGTATTTTAGATTTATAATCCAAGCATTGCATTACTACGTACGTGCCATATTATTTTCTATCTGTGAAGAAGAAAAGAAACTTGATAATATTTATGGAAATGAAAGAACTGAATACCAAATGAAAAAAAATAAAATAATTCTCAAGTATACCAAATGCAAAGGTAAGAGAGAATTGAACGGTGAATGAACTAGTAAAGTATTGATTTATATAGTATATTAATCTTTTCATGGTTAAATTGTGGGCAAACTAACAATGATTAAATATATTTTTTTTATCATTTATAATATATTTATAAAATAATATTTTAAATTAAAAATTTTACATTAGTTATGTTTAAAAATAGAAAATACAAACTATTCTCCTCACACAATAGAGAATGATATATATATATACCTTAATGGTCTATATATCTATTTTGCCCACCCTTGTTTTCCTTTAGAACTTTAATTACCAATCAAAAGTTAAATGCCTTTACATTTATGGTTAAGATCTAGAAATGAAAAAGTTATATTTTTATGAGAAGATATAATATTTAATATTTCTAATTTTAATAATAAAAAAACTTTTGTATATTGTTTATTTGATTAGCGCCCTTAAAATACTCCAGCAGGACCATTCTTTAATTCTCAATTCTGTCTTTTATAATTTATCTATACTGGTCCTTCTAATTAAAACACTTAGATGTCTTCTAATAAAATAGCTATGCTCATTCAAACTAATTATTAATCACATATTTATCAAAGTACTCTCAACATTAATATTTAATATAAATGCATCTATTTTAATATATTTTTTAAAATTCCTCTATACTATACTTAGTTGATCATGATTCATGACCCCTTCTTTACCCACCAACCGTTTTTTTTTTCGCTAGTCGACATGTAGTCTTAATTAGATTGGTTTAAATTAAAGGCATTTGATCCGGAACAACAAAGGTTGGCTGTCTGTTTGTCAAAGTTTTTGCTTAATGTTTTGTATTTCTATCATGTTTTAGTTTTAAGATTTTATTAATTAAAAGTACATTCATGTATTATATAACATACTCATTATAAGATTTTTTTTAAATTTGGTTTTTCTTTTTATTCTTATTACGCTTTTTTTAATATTTTTTTATTTGCATATATTAAGAAAAAATATAAATTTTCATTGAATATCTATTAAGAAAGACAAAAAAAAAGGAGAAAAAGACAACTCAGAAAAAAAAAAAAATCACAACCGTGATTAGAGAAGGTTACGACCGTGAGTAGAGGGTTAGGTCCATAATTGTCTCAAAAGCAAGAAGAAGAAACAAGACAGAAAAGGTCACAGCTGTGACTTACTAGTCACGCGCCCGTGACCAACTCGACTGAAGTTAGCAAAAAAACACATAGAAGGGGGGGGGGGGTTGAATATGTGTGTGTGTGTACGAAGGAATTTCCTAAGTCATTTTTCCAAGAGTAATGTTCTTCGTCCAAAGCACTTTTAAACGTTAGATTGTTATGCAAAATTTGTTTAACATAAGGTCAATGCGCCTGAAGGGTTTATCGTCTGCTAGGGAAAAATGTTTCATAATGATAATTATTGAAGTTCTTACATTTTCCTTTCTCAAGATAGTTTCGTTTTAGAGACAAGCAATAGATAAATCTTTTCAGTGTAATATATCTATTAAACATATTTGCATCTTTGTCTGAAATATTGGACGAAGTCTTTCACAAAGATTTAATCAGTAGGGAAGATTTGTTCCTAGTTAAACAAGAAAAATAAAGCAATTATTTTTATACTGGTTCGCTCAACTGAGCTATCTCTAGTCTCCTTCAACTGAAGCGTTCCACTAGATATCAAAATGAAGAACATTTGAGTATTGTCGGACCTGAGTATTCTCGAACACTCTTGGCTCGCTAGCTTCACTCACCAGTTCTAGTATTCTTAAACCACTTTTGGTTCCCAAGTATTCTCGATTGCTCTTGGCCTGTCGGCTTCACTCACCAACGCTAGTATTCTTAAACCACTTCTGGTTTCCCAAGTATTCTTGACCACTCCTGGCTTGTCGGCTTCACTCACCAACGCTAATATTCTTAAACCACTTCTGGTTCCCCAAGTATTCTCGACCACTCTTGGCCTGTCGGCTTCACTCACTAACGCTAGTATTCTCTTATCAGCCACTTCTGGCTAGCAGTGAGTATTCTTTGCAAAGGCCCTTCGGGCTTTACAAGTATTCTTTTCCTAGCCTCTTCAGGCTTTACAATGTATTGGCTAGACAAGTTTGGTTCGAGTGTATAGTTTACTCTCACAAAGAGGATACATATGGAATCTACACTCTCTAAGGTTTCACTACCTTAGTCCTACAGAGGCTTGTATTTGAGTGTTTGGATTACTCTCACGGAGAGGGTACATAGGTTTAAAATACTCACTAAGGTTTGTTCATGACTGACATTTTGAACACCTTAGTTTACATAGATAACAATGCTATATTACATTGTGTATATGATTATGAACGTTCATCTCTAGTACCTCTGTCTTGTGGGCTTGATATCATCTCTTTCATCAAGTGCCCAGGGCAAATCCTATGATTATCTCTTTGTTGCTCTTTGACAACCTTTTTCGGTTTGATGTTATTGCATACTTATAGGCTTGTAAAATTTGCCCGTTGCATATGTCCGTTGAAGCTAATATAGTCTTTCATGACTAGTTTGATCCTTTCATTTAATGCATTTGGTCTTGCATTAAATGTTGCTTCCTGTTTTTAGACATTGCGTGTATTCTTCTCTGTCTTGTTTCCAGCAATGCTTGACTTTATCTGAGACCTAGAAGTTATTTGTCTTTTTCTGGTCATGCAGCAATATAGCCGTTGTCCTTTTCTGAAAAGTGATGCACTTTTTCTGATACATGCATGCTCTGCTTTTGTGTGCTTCTCTTCTTCTTTATTCCTTCATTTAGATCACGCGTTTTACGTTGAGGGCTTTTGTGTGATCATAGACGATGCTTTGAGTAGTCTTTTGAGACTTGATAAGTGTTTGCGCGACAGTCTTCGTTTGCGGTTGTTAATCTCATGCGTCTCTTGTCTTATTATTCATCTGAGTATTCAATGTTGATGCTTTGGCATCTTATATGGTCTGGTCAGTATTACAGACAAACTTGTCTTCGTCTAGAGTATCTTTTAGTCTGTGCTGCTCTTGGTCTTGATGTATGATTGACTTTCTTCTATCCATAGAAATATGCCTCGTCTGATCTGTGCTTTAAAGCAGTTGAATCTGACACAACTTTTTCTGGATATTTTGTGATCATCTGGTGCATATTCGTGTTCCAACTACTCATCTCTTGACGCTTAATTTCCTACATCACTTTCTTTATCTGTCTCGACTTGTCTGGTTCGTGTCTTGCCTTGATAATTCCTCATAGGCTTTGTCTGATACTTCAGTGTCTCATTCTGGTGGCAGTCCTCTTCCGTCTGTGAGCAGACTTCGTTTTTATGCTTGACTAGCCATCATTTGATTCTTTCATCTAGTTTGTACAATCTTCATGGATTGTTGCATTTAATGCCTTTGATTTTGCATTAAATGTTTGCTTGCTGAATCTGCGCTTCACGAGATCTTTTGTACTGTATGTTTACTTTTTTGACTGGCATTAAGATATCTATGTACTTTCCTGATATTGTTGCTACAGAGGTGTTGTCCTTAGCTGACTAGTAGGTGTACTTGCTCTGACACAAGCAGTTTTGATCTGTGGATAAGCGCTTCTTTTATTTTGATGACTTCATGTGTTCTTCTGATATTGGTGCTAGGTAGTTTGTCTCGTTGTGTCTTCAGATGCAGTCCGGCCTTCTTTGTTTCCATCTATTTATTTGAATCTCCGTCTGGTCAGCTATGCACGCTCTTGACTTCGTCTGGGGTGCTTTGACAAAGCTTTGTCCAACGTCCATGGTCTTGTATCATCTAAGGCTTAATTATTTTCCTTCTTGTGCTAGGCTTGATTTCGTTTGATCGTTTGATCTCCTCATCTGTCATTTTGTTAGCTTTTGCCCTTCATCTTGATTGCATGTGTCCTGTTCTTTATTTCTTTTGTGTCTGTGTTTGTGGGTGTCTTTGTCTGATTATTCCCTTCATTTGATCTGCCTTTATCCAGTGCTTAGCTCATATCTCTTGGTTCTAGTGTAGAGGTAATACATGCATATTCTCTATTCTTCAACTTGCCTGTACTTATATATGAAATACTAAAACACTTGTTAGAAATAACAACATGTATTATATTTGTCTCATTCAAAACCTTGCTGAGAATTACTTTCGTCTTCGTCTGACTTAACATCCACAACATA